TACTATCTCTTCATCTCTCTCTCCTCTCTCTCTCTCTCTCTCATATACTATATCTCTATATATATCTATAATATACATCATATACTTCTATATCTCTATATAGAAATATATCATTCTAATATCTATATCTTATGCGCATATACATATCGATATATATCTTATATATATATACATATATATATTATTATATATATAATCTAGTTATAGAATATATATATATATCTATAGAAATATACATCTATATATAATATACATGTATATATATATATTAATATCCTTATATATATATATACATCTATTATAGTATATATAATATTAATATTATATATATCTATATCTATATAATATATATATAGATATATATATATATATATATATATATATATTATATATATATATCATATATAAATATTATATATATTATATATGTATATATATATATATAGTTATATATATATATATGTATATTTAAAAAAAACTAAATAAAATAAATATATATATATATAATATACTATATATATCTATATATATGTATAATTTATATATATATATATATATCTCTATGTATAATTATATGTCTATATCTATATATCTATATCTATCTGTATAATTATATCTATATATATATATGTCTATTATATCTCTATATATACTCATGTAAAATTATTATATAATATATATACTGTATATTTTATATATAATATATATATATATATATGTATATTATATTATATATTCTATATGTATATTTCTCTATCGCTATCATCATCTCTATACTTTTATGTCTTTATATATATATATGTTACTTTATCTATATCTATATATATATCTCTATCTCTATATATCTTCTAATATCTCTCTCTGTTCTTTATATATCTATCTGTATATTTCTATCCTCTCTTATATATCTATCTTTTCATCTCTCTCTATCCTCTCTACATCTCTATCTATATATCCTTCTCTTATGTCTATTTTCTCTTCTCTATCTTCTGTATCTTTCTCTCTCTCTCTCTCTGTTCTATTTTCTCTATCTCTCATATTCTATCTCTCTCTCATCTCCTCTCTCCTCTGTCTCTATATCATCTCTCGCTCTCCTCTCTGTCTATTTCTCTCTATCTACTCCTCTGTCTCTTTCTCTCTCTATCTCTCCTTTCCTTCTACTCTCTCTATCTCTCTCTCACTCTCTGCTCTCTGTCTCTTTTCTTATCTCTCTCTCTTTTTTTTGTCTCTTTCTATCTCTCTCCTCTACTCTCTCTCTCTATCATCTCTCTCTCTATCTCTCTCTCTGTCTCTTTATCTCTCTCTCTCTATGTCTATTCTATCTCTATATCTCTCCTCTTTCTCTATTCCCTCTCTCTCTCTCTCTCTCTCTCGCTCTTCTATTTCTATCTCTCCTCTCAGATTCTCTCTCTCTCCCGCTCTCTTCTCTCTCTCTCTCTCTGTCTCTTTCTCTCCTCTCTCCTCTACGCTCTATCTCTCTCTTCTCTCTCTATCCTCTTCTCCTCTCTCCTCTGTGTCTCTTTCTCTTTCTCTCGCTCATCTACTATCATGAATGTCTCTTTCTCTATATGCTTATCTCTTCTCTCTCTCTATCTCTCTGTCTCTTCTTCTCTCTCTCTCTCTCTGTCTCTTTGTCTCTATTCTATATCTCTGTTCTTTTCTCTCTCTCTTCTCTCGTCTCTCTCATCATCATACTTCTTCCTCTCTTACTCTGTCTCTTTCTCTCTCTATCTCTCTCTCTCTGTCTCTTTCCTCTCTCTCTCTCTCTCTCTTCTCTCTCGTATCTGTCTCTGTCTCTGTCCTCTGTAGCTCTGTTCTGCTCTGATCTCTGTATCTGTCTCTGTCTATTCTCTGTCTCTGTCTCTGTCTCTAGTAACTCTCTCTCTGTCTTCTTCTGTCTCTCTCTCTGTCTCTCTCTCGGTCTCTCCTCTCTGTCTCTACTATCTCGTCTCTATCTCTGTCTCTCTCTCTGTCTCTCTCACTGTCTCTCTTCTGTCTCTCTTCGTCTGTCTCTCATTCTTCCTCTCTCTCTGTCCTCTCTCTTGTCTCTGCTCTGTCTCTCGATCTGTCTCTCCTCTGTCTCTCTCTCTGTTCACATCTCTCTTCTCTCTTCTGTCTCTCTCATCTCTGTCTTCTCTCTCTGTCTCTCTCTCTGTCCTCTCTCTCTGTCTCTCTCTTGTATCTATCTCTTGTCTCTATCTCTGT